ATGCAGACTGAATTATGTCATAGATCTATAACAATGGAGCCAATGGCTGGAGCTGCTGCACAAAACTGAGCGGACAATGACCTTCAATAGCTTTAAAATGGCTTTGCTGCCCAGTTCACCCCTCTCTCTATGTCTCTCTGTCACACACACACACGCAAACACACACACACACACACACACACACACACACACACACACACACAGAGGGGAGAGGGAGAGCTGAAGAGAGCTAATACAGAGTGACAGGTCTTTCATGCAGTAATGGTGATGGTGAAAAGAGAGATCCACTCAACCCACACTGCCACACACATAAAGTCAAACACACACGCACACAGCAGACAAACAAAAGGAAGCAAATACACACACACATGCACACACACGCACACACACGCGCACACACACACACACACATATGCACGCGAGCTCAGTGAAAAGCACATTATTACAGAAAAGTGGCCACACAACAACCACAAGTCACAATTTAATCTCAATTGTTTACACTAGCAGTCAGGCTTCATTCATCAGGAGAGACGCACACGCACACACAACTACACACACTCAGCTCGCAGTCCTGGAAGTCAGGCAGCCGAGTGTGCTCACGCTTTTTAGTTTTATTGACCTGTGGATGTTTGATGTTTGACTTCCTAATGTACCACCTCTCACTCTCTTTCTGTTACAAACAGACACATTACTGTTTAGGAGAGGCCGGGGTTAGTTGGTGCACAGCTGTTCTCTGGTCATGTGAAGGTCACAGAGACAAAAATGTGACATCAAAATGTTTGTTTCATTCACCTGCACTCATCTACTGTGTTAAAACATCTGGAAGTCACTTACTAATTTTGTAAGGGTAACATTTAATTTTATAGTATCAAAGGTAAAAAGTGGTCTGTGGACTGAATGTGGTATAAAACTGCATTAGACAGAGACACTTTTAGTTATTAAACAAAGGAAGCAGCTACATTTTGATATAAGATTTGAAAGTCTGTGATGAGTGATGGCAGCTGGCTCACATAATTTAATTACAACGTTGGGTCAAATGTGAGCGGGGCTGGTTGACACACTGATTTTACTGAAGTGTAAAATTAAGAGTTGTAACTTTACCTGTATTTTGACAGATTATAACTATTTTGAAAGATTAAAAACAGAGTTATGTTGTTAATTTTTAATAGTTATTTTGAATAGTCTATAGTAAAAGTAGTTAGATGGATAAATAGATCAATTAAAATAAATTTTAGTTTCAGACTCCCATATACAAGGTAGTACAAAGTACATTCTCACTCCAGTCTCGTCACGTATCGACGTTTGGTCATGGACTGTCCACGTCCAAATATGACGTGCAAGGTACCCTGGATACGTTGGTTGTTGACGTTCTGCGATGCCGGGTCAAGTTCTGCCTGTTACATGCATTATCTTCTTTCAAAATACACTTACGTTTTCACATGAAAGGTGCCGTTTACATACAGTCTCTTTCAAAATAAACACACTATGTCAGTACAACGCAAACTGACGTTTTTTCTTTTCCTTCAGCAACAAACGCACGTGGTTACATTTTGCCAATACACACGTGGTTTAGTTTAGGCAACGAAAGCATTTGGTGGGGTTTAGGAAAAAAGAACAGGGTTTGACCTTACAGTCTTAATGGGTAAGCAAACATTGCCCTCCCGATTGATGGTCATTGGTTGTTGGACCCATCCACCGCCCCTCCCACCTGCCCTATTCAAACTTTCGTCGCCTTAACTTTCGATGTTGTCCCACTGCGTTTCCCTCTGACATCGCTGGGTGCTGTTAAGCTATAACAGCTACTGGCCGCATATCATGCCAACATGAAAGGATGGCTTTTTTCGTCAGTGTCTGAAGCTGGAAGTCACTGCTCAAGCGTCAGATTTCAGTGACTTTGGAGGGAGACCAGGTCGTAAAAAGACAGTCGATAGAGATTTGGACACTAGTCTAAGAAGTTAAGTCTAAAGACATTCCTACCGATAAATTGCTTAAAAATGTTGTTTTAAAAATTGGCAGATGTTCTTTTAAATGTTTATATTTTCTGGCAACACATTCTCACTCCAATCTCGTCACATATCAGCGTTTGGTCATGGACTTTCCACGTCCACATACGACATGTATGGTACCCTGGAAGCATTGGTTATTGACGTTCTGGGACGTCGTGTCAACTTCTGCCTGTTACATGGATTGTCTTCTTTCAAGATACACTTCCGTTTTCACAGGAAATGTATCGTTTACATACAGTCTCTTTCAAAACAAACGCTTTATGTCAGTACAACATCGCAAATTGACATTTTTTCTCTTCAACCAACAACCGTGGTTAGGTTTAGGAAATGATGCCGCCAACCGTTAAACTATAATGACAAAGTTGCGTATCATGCTGACATGAAAGGACGCCTTTTTTATCGCAACTGACGCAGGAAGTCATTGCCCAAGCGCCGGATTTCGACGACTGTGGAGTGAGACCGGGTTGTGAAAAGATAGTCGGTAGAGATTAGGACATTTATCAGGGAGGAGAGGTTACAATCTGTGTACTCATATACGCAAATTATCTACAATCACTTCAAAAGACATTTCTACTGATGAAACACTTGTCTTTAAAATAAGTAAATATTCTATGAAATGTTCATATTGTCTGGTTATTTTTTGAGTTGAATGTTCAAATTGTTATTATTGATTGCTTCTTTTTTTGTCGCTATTGCATTTTAACACTGTGCCCTCCAACTCCCTGATGGGGCTGGTTGGTTCAAATGGACAAGGTGACTTTAATCTCAAATCACCTGATTTTAGATAACATTTGTTTACATTTAAACATATATATTTAAAGCTGAGACCTTAACCTTGCAGTCGCTGCTGGTTAGAATATTCTAACATAAATTATGCCAGAGAAAGGTGGCAGAATGTGAAAAGGGTGCCAGCCAACCCCAGTCTCCCCTGAAATTTGCATCTAGCATTCAAATTCTGTCTAGTTCTGGATTATATTATACTTTCTGAGAGATGTCTGATTGTATTTTGTCTCTATTTAATTTTGCAAACTGGCTCTCGCTCCAGATGTATTATTAGTTCACCTACATGGCTCATTCCATTAACTCCACTCTGTTTCTGACCTTGACCAAAAACAAGTTCTTCTTAAATTTATGTCACACAGACTAAATTTTAGAGACGGTGATTTAATTTAAGTGTCACTTCTCTTACTTTAAGTTATAATACATTGAAATATCTTCAATGCTGTGATTTTTAGTCTCAGGCTGTTTATAATAAACAATTACAAACCTTCATACATACGCAACCACATATGCCAACAAACGCAGTCAGGCACAAATGCATGCACACATACAACGCTCTGATCAATTGTTGCCCTCAGGCTGTGGTGGCTTGCCGTGACTGAGGAGGGAGCCTGGTTAACACCCAGTGGTTCACCGCAGTGCAGTGTGCATTCACTTACAACAGTTTCCTCCATCACAAGGACCAGCCAGAATAACAGTCTTTATGTATCATACTATTATAAGTGCATGCTGGGCTTGTATCACTACATTTAACGTCAAAATGAGGGAATATTTTTCAGTTCTGTCCAAACACTTTCATAGCAAAATTTAAAAAAAAAAAAAAAAAGTAGAAAAAAATATATAAAAATACATAACTTCAGCAGATAAGCAGAGAGGGCGAACAGTGTGAAATGAACCCAAGTTGAAAGTTTTATTCATGTTTAAAGAAAGTGAGTGACAGACGTCAACACTTTCGAGAACAGTGATCTTAATCACAACTGCTATTGAATTATGTAACTCAAGATTATACAGCGTCAGTTCCATTGAAGCACTGAAAAGCATTTGTTTTACCCATTTCTTTTTCTTTGCAAAGACGGTCATGTGCAAGAAGTCCGGGCTTTATGCGGAAGCAAGCACAGCTACACCCTTTTATGTAATCATGTAGAGGCAAAGAGAGAAGCTGGGGGTAGTAGAGAGGGAAAAACAAAGAGGTACAGAGATGAAAAAGGAAAGAAGTGCCGCAGTCTAAGATGCAGCGAAGGATTATCGAATGGTTCTACAAATTAAAATGGAAATTAGTGATGTGAGGGGAGAAACAGGGCAGCTGTGCACAGTCACTAAGGTCATGACGGGGTCAGCAGCAGTCTAAAGGTTAGATAGCTGGATTTTAACTGCATGGTTTAGATGCCTGTTGGTTGGGAAAACTCTATAAAGGGAAATACTTTGATCTTCTTCAGCAGCTACTGCTGAGGTGCCCTTGAGCAAGGCACTTAACCCCCTAACTGTAACAGCAGAGCCAACAACAGAACGCTGCAGTTACACCAGGCTTCACCTCAGTGTGAATTTGTACAACTGCATAAGCAAAAAGCAGGGTGGTGCTGAGGAGCGGCACGCCTGCACAACAAAACCCTGCAAAAGGCCAAAATATGATGATATCTCCATGATCTCACTTCATATACTCCCCTGTACATCTTCAAGATTTCTCTTCCACACATCCTCTGTACGACATCTGTGTGTTTCCCTCTCTCCAGCATCACAGTGATAATGAAAACCAGCCATTACACAATGACACGGTGGTTTAATTCTCAGTACAGAGATATATTGTTTTTAACGTATCCCTGTGCATGATGTGCCTCAAAGACAAACAAACTATTCTAAATTAAGATACGACTGTTTCTGATATACAGGTCCTGCTTGTCTAAAGATAAAGATACTGGTATAGTATTGAAGTGCATTAAGGTTCTAGAGCATCTGAAAATACATTATGTACAACAAAAACAATTATTATAGATTACAAGACAATGGGCCCCTGGTCACAGACACGCAGAAGGCCCCACCACAGATAAACTTGATAGTTGTTTAGCCTCTTTTTGTTGTTTTGCATCTCTTTGTAGTCTTTTGTGTTCCTTTGTAGTTTTTTACTTTTTTGTTTGTGGCCATTTTGTGTCTCTATGTAGTCATTTGAATCTGTTTGAAGTTGTTTTGGGTCTCTTTGCAGTCTTTTTATGCCTGTTTGTAGTTGTTTGAATCTAACTGAATTTGTTTTGCATCTCTTTCTTGTCATCTTGTGTCTCTTTGAGGTTATTTTGACCCTTTGCATTGTTGTTTTGAGCCTCCTTGTGTCTTTTTTGCAGTCTTTTTATGCCTGTTTGTAGTTGTTTTAATTCATTTAAGTTGTTTTGTGTCTCTCTCTGTTGTCATTCTGTGTCTCTTTGTGGTTGTTTTGACCCCTTTTGTTATCTTTGCGAGCCTCCCTGTGTCTATTTGCAGTCATTTAGAGTCTCTTCTTGCTCCACACGTGTTAATTTTAGTGACACTTTGCAGGTGAAGGCCAAGGGGGTGCCCTGCACTCTTGACTCCTGAGCCTGCAAGCTCATTTATTGATCCATTCATGCCCACAATATAACTATATTTGGTTAAAGTGCTTGGCTAAAACATCCTACAACGTCCTACACAGTCTGCTACACTGTGATGTTGAAGGAAGCGCTACTGTGACCCATGCGGGATCGTCTGAAAATACCTGATTTATCAATTACCGTAAGTCCATCAACATAAATAAATAATAGCAAAACAACCATTTCAGTCAGTTTCAAAGCAAAATTCTAAACTCTTGCTTGTGCCAGATTTTCAACTGCAAGTATTCGGTGCATTCCTTTGTCACAGGGTGGAATAAGGACTATCTTTTGCTTTTGGATAGCAGATCAAATAAAACTAGCTGTTTAAATACATCAACTTGGCATTTTTCACTATTATCTGACATTTAATAGACAAAATGATCAGTCTAGAAAGTAATCAGCTGATTAACAGAAAATAAAATTAATCATTAGTTGTATCAGTTACAAGAGAGCGCAAAACATATTTTCAGGTAGTCTAGAAACCTTTAGCAGGATGCACTGTCACCAAAAACATTTTAAATACTTTGTCTACATAGTGAGGACCTGAATTTCACTAACAGTGGTATCATCCTTTGAGCAGTAAGTGCAAATGCAATTAATACTTTCACCATGTGAGATTTCCAGATATATATAAACAGCTTTGAAGCTTTTAAAAAATACATCTAACCAGTCTTTAAAGCATAAATCTTGATCCATGTGCAGTTCAAAATGTCTCCTTGCTCCTGACATTCACCGTTGACTCATCTGTGCTGCACCATCACCTGACACACAGTGCAGACCAGTGAGGAAGGAAGAGTGCATGAAAAAGTAGTGACCTGGGCCCCAGAGCTGATCCAGGGTCAGTGCGGAGCAGTGGCCAGTAGAGGGCATCAGACCGCCGTGTCAGCACTGGGTGGTTCCTCCTTTAAACCAGCGTGCGCTGCATCCACAGGGTGCGTTGTTGGTTGTAGTGCGCCTGTTGCAGAGTCTTCATCCAAAGCAGAATGAGTCAGACATTTTCTTGATGTGACTTGTGCCAAAGCTTCATTCATAATTTACAACAGCTATATAGAACTCCTCATGTGCAATTTTATATACAAGAATTTTATAAATTTGTATCTTAAACAAATATGTAAAACATGACGATTTGCTCTTATGATATTTCAGAACATCATCCACTTCTGTCTGTCTGTATTTTTTTTTTTTTTTACAAAGATTAACAACATTCACATACAGTGTTCTCATTTAAGAATTACTCTATTGTTTAACTAATGTTTTTTTAATTAATAATATCATTAATATTACTTTGACATTGTGAGTTATGAAACTGGACTGATGATGTAAGAAATTCAGAGAAGACAAGAATATAACCACATTTACCTTTTGGTAAAAAAAGGTACCTTTTTCCGTGTATTTTTATGAATTATGTATGTATAAAACTATGTGCATCCTCAGTCTTTGTGATCAGTGTTTTGCATTGTACATTTCCAAGTGCATACAAATTTCCTGCAGCACTGCAGTATCTTGTATTATACCGCAGCCCCTCGCTCTCCCTGCCTCACACTCCCTCTCCTATATCTCCTCTGTCACTCAACCTAACCTCTAAAGTCTTTCTAGGAAACTCTTTTTGCCTCTTTCCATTATGACAACCCGAAATTCCTTTTTCTTTTCCTCCTGTTTCTACTGTTCTGTGTCCATCACGGTTTCTGTCAAATCCCCCACAATCCTGTTAAACCTTTCCTTTTACTCTCCAACACCTCCTCTGTCCTTGGTTCATATTGTTCCAAAGCTACATTTTATTATGTTTGATCACCTCTCCCTCCACTTCATCTCACATGATCTGTGCTCTAAGCTCAGCATTAACTCTCATCCACAGCTAAATGTACAGTGTACGTGATTATGAGGAGTCAGTGTCTCTTCCCTCCCCGATGCTCCTGCTTCCTAACAGGGGGAGGCGCTCATGTGCATGTGTGTGTGATAGTGAGGGGGAGGTACAGGTGATGGAGGCATTGCCATGGGGAGAGCCTGGCCTTGGGGGTGTGAGGAGTGCGACCTGGTGAGGGTGTGCGTGGTGGGGTAGCCAGCAGACTGTGGAGGCATCTGGTAGCTCCCTGCGGAGGACGACCCAGAAGGTGGGCTGCCCTGCCCTTGGAGGCTGCTTTTGGGGGGTGCTGGTGGTGCCTGGTTGAGCTGGATGGAGATGTCACTGGAGGCTTCAGAGGTGCTGCGGCCTCGCTTCGGTTGAGGCCAGGAGGATTCTGGGTGGAGGAACTGGCCGCTGTAGTCACTGCTCTCGGACAGGCGGGGGCGGTAGAGCGCAGGGTGGGGGCGGTACATCTCTTCCTCGGCGTAGCGCTTCATAAACAGATAGACTGACATCACCCCAGCCCCCTGAGACAGTGAGTGAGAAGAGGAAGCAGGAGGAGATGAGGGGGTGATAAGATGTGACAGGGAGAGAGGCATTTAGTCGCGTAAATAAATTGAGTTCAGAGACAAATTTCAAAGACGCAGTAACAAGTGATGGCTGGGGAAATTAGATTAAAAGTGACTGAAAGGTGAGAAGTGTTAAAAGGAATGTACAAAGTAGAGAGGTGTAAGTGTGTGCTTTTGATTTAGAAAGATGAGGGTACGCTTGAAGCCCATAAAACAGATTGGAAAAGAAAGAACGGAGACAAGTGTGCGGAGAACAGATGAGGGAGGGAGGAGGTTAGTGTCCACTGCACCACATTAAGAGCAGTGCTGCTGATGATGGGAAAGCAGCAGGAGGAGAAGTGGTGGTGGGGGGTATGAGCAGAGGATTCATATGAGACATCACCACGCATGGATGCACACACGAACACACAGACTCCCACAAACCACTGATGCCTCACCATATCTACAGAAAACCAATCACCTTACCTTCCTGCACACTCAGCATGCAACACTCCAGGAAAAAAACACTCATACCATAGAAATGAAAATATATTATCTGTGTGTAACATATGTATGCACGCAGACCAAGAGCACAGGTTTCATTTCAACACTTCGAGGAACACATATTAAAGGGGGCGTCTGGAGGTCCCCCCTGAGGAAATTTGAAGCGTCAAACACTTCATTTCCTGTATGCTGGTCATTTTTAGGCATTAATTTTTGCCTTTCGCTACGCTGATCTACAACTTATAACGAATATGGACCAGGGTGCCTTAATCATCTCGTACTGAAAAAATAAAATGCACTGCCCCTTACTAAATCAATACAAGATGCAAATTGTTCAGTGTCTTTGTGCACAAAACAGTTAAGGTAAAGATGGTGTCTCCTTCACTTAGCCTTCATATACATCTATGTGACGGAGCTGCAGTCTCGACGTTTTCTTCTGTAGGCCGATGCGGAATTTAGCTTTGCCCTGGTTCCCTTATAAAAAAAAGTCTATGGGATATTTTCATTGGTTTTTGGATTATTGCAGAATATAAGATCTGTGGCAACCAGAAGTTTAGGTATATTTTGCTCAGCAAGATAATATTCTTAGGATTCTTTAAGCATAAATGCAATCACCAGAAGTAAAAAGCTAATGTTAGGCAATAAACAAACCACACCACGGCCACCACAACAAGGCTGTGAAACCGAGTTAGGCGTGATGACATTTTGTGGCCTCATTTAGCCACTTGTTAAGAACTGTCTTTTATAAGATGCGTAAAAACTTCAAAATATAGGCTACGAGTCAAGGGCGTAGGTTTACAAACATTAATGTAAGGCTATAAACAAACTGCACCACGGTCACATGACTAACTTCACCACTACGAGGCTGTAAAGCCGTGTTCGGCGTGATGACATTTTGTGGTCTCATTTAGCCACTTGTTAAGAACTGTCTTTTCTAAAATTTCAAAATATAGGCTACAAGTCAAGAGCATAGGTTTGCATATGGACAGTAGGGACATGTCCCTACCAATATTTCGGCAAACTCATTTGTATTATCCTCATACTAACCGTTCTGTACATGAAAATACAAGACAAATCATGTCCATTTATGTTATTATGTCTGATCAGAGGTGTTGTCAGTTAGTTTTGGTATTCCACCTCCAATGAAGAGCAGTGCACAGCCGCTTAAACTTTGCCTCATATAGAGAGAGTCCCAAACAGGGTTGTGTGTCTGTCAGACGGTCTGAAGGGGAAACTACCAAATCAATAGAACAAAAGTGTAATGCCCAGCAGACAAAACAGCAGGTAGATTTTCTTTCTTGAAACATTCTGGCTTTATTCTCATTAATATAAAAGTTCATTTTTGTAATATTACGACTTGATTCTCAACTTCTTAGAGAACACAGATATCTGGGACATAATTTGACCGTGCAGAAAGTTCTCAACATTAGTAAATATCTTGCTGAAACACACATGAGCTATTGAAGTCCAGGGATTTATGAATAAATTAAAATGAACTGACTTCTCATAGTGAATAGGTGTTACATGTACATTTAAAGAGGTTACTTCCCCGAACAGAAGACACAATGGAGGATGGGAAAGTGACATGTGTTGAATCAGCAGAGATAACAGAGAAACAGAGAAACTCACTGTGTTATATTCTATTGTAGCCTATTTCTATATTTTGAATTGTCACCTATGGCTTGAAATTTGTGTTTTTCTTTACAATAAATAAAGACATTTCCATCATAAACTGACGCATGAAATTTCCTGGAAGAGGGCCCCCAAACCCGCAAATGAAACCTACAGCCTCGGTACAAGCGCGTTTTTTTACTGACGTATTTTATTTTGTAGAATAAAATGTGAAAGTCTGTTAAGCTTGTGGTAACCATAGACCTTATTTCAGCCATCTCACCAAAAACCCAGTGAAAAAACCAATTGACTTGGAGATGAGGGAACTGGGAGCGGTAAAATGCAAACTCATTTCCTGGTTTTAGGACTCATTCCTGCAGCACTCTATTGCCAGGGACGATTCAGTAGTCACTTCATATTTATGGGAACATGTTCCTAATGTCCCTACCAAATTTGATGCCCTTCAGACAGACACACATTCTCTCACACTCTTTCATATATTTTTCATCACTACCACACACACACACACACACACACACACACACACACAGCCCAGACCGACCTCTTTGAGTAAGAAGGAAGAGGCAGCGAAGGCGAAGGACCAGCCATAGTGGTAGTTGAAGAACTGCTCGGGCTCTCTGGGCCGGTTCATCACCTCGTCATTAATACTGGAGATGTAGAGCACCAGACCCACCACCAGACTGAGGCCTGCACACAGCACATTAACAATGACACTGAGTCAGAGAGAGACAGAGAGACCCAGGAGGTCATTATAATCCAATAGAGACAGCTGCACCAGTGTGGCGAGAGTTTAACAGACAGAGAGAGACTGAGAGAGAGCAATGGGATGTGGAGTGACCACACCAAGCAATTAGCCTCAAAAATTCCAACTTTAATAAAGAGATGGGAGAGAGACCAGAGAGGGTGTGTATGTATCATAATGACAGATAAAGAGATAAAAAAATAATGACCTGCAGAGATGAAAAGAATGACTCATAGAAGCAAAACAATGTAGACTTTATGTAGGCAATTTTGTAGGCAATTGGATGACCTTCTGACTTGTCCTTTTGTTGTATCTTATGTCCTTAGTGTGTGTGTGTGTGTGTGTGTGTGTGTGTCTGCTACATGGCCAGGACTGAAACACATTTAACAAACAAAGTAAGGGCATTTCTGAGAGAAAGACATTTTGGTCGGTCCTCACATCTTCAAAGGCCTGCTTGAGGGTTAAGACTTGGTTTTAAGATTCAAGTCAGAATTAGGTTAGGCATTTAGTTGTGAAGGTTAAGATAAGGGGTTAGGGAAGGCATCATGTTAGTCAGGGTCCTCACAAAGATAGACGTACAGAACTGCGTGTGTGTGTCTACTTGTACATGCTACACAGTGAGGACCAAATATGTATTTTAGCAACAGAGTGAGGACATTTTTGCAAAATGAGGACATTTTAATCAGTCCTCACTTTTCCAAAGGCCTGTTTGAGGGTTAAGCCTTTTTTAGGGTTCAGATTAGAATAACTTTTAGGTTAGGGTTAGGTTAGGGATTTAGTTGTGATGGTTAAGGTTAAGGTAAGGGGCTAGGGAATGCATCATGTCAACGAAGGTTCTCACAAAAATACAAGAATGTGTGTGTGTGAGAGTGTGTGTGTATTGGGAAGGACTCTGAAAGTGGCTTTGTTCCTAGCCTGCAGCAACCCTGTCTCATGCAAAATCACATTTCCACACTACTAAATTGTTTTGCCAAAATTAGTTTGGAGGGAAACACAATTTCATATAGATTGTATTTGGCAGAGTTTCCAAGTGCAGGAAGTGATACTTTTTATTCAGTGTGCTGTTAGGTTTAGGAGATATAAGTACTCTAGTTAATAAGGACACAGACAAACTTTTTGCTTTATAAGTTAAAGCATTTCATTATGAAATAAATCTTGATTGCATAAATAATAACATCATTTGTGTTTATGTTGGTTCCCTATAAGCCTCGCTTTCGTTATTCAAGTCTGTCAGCCACCAGATACGATTTCAGTGGAAAATGAAGACTCGATCTAAGAAGTGTGTCAACAATTGCGCAATGAAAACAGAAAGAGGACAGTGCTTTTGTTTTCCTGGTAGCTCCTGGTAGCTCTCTCTAGTCACCAAGGAGTATCAATATGAGTTCTTTGTAAAGGAAACTCTACCCACCAAAATAAAAAGAGACTTAGAGGAAAAACAGAAAGCGATGAGGTTGTCTTTGCAACAGCGACACCAAAAACAATACTACTTTCAAACACTGGGGAAAGGAGACAGTTTAACAAAGTTAGCCATTTTCACTTTCAGCTTAATGAAACACTGGGTTTACGGTTAACTGTTAAAGTAAACTCCTCTTTTCTCGTGCTTAAAGTCATTATTGACTTTCTAATCATATAACCACGATCTTTCCCAAACCTTAACTACATGCTTTAAGTACCTAAATGTAACCCTCAAAAGAGTTTATTCATGCTTTAGTTGCTATGAGCAGATGTTGCACTGCAGGATGTGGCAAAGAAAAATGAAGGAAAATCAGAAATGTCAGTGAACATATTGCAGATACAGATATTGTGATTGTGTAGATACATTCTTTGAAGTAAAGAGACAACATTTTGATCCCAGTCAGATTCTCGTCAGGTCAAAAAAACTTAATAGTATATAAATGGAATTTCTAGGGGACAGGACTGCCTGCAGATCTGCATTCATAAGAAACTAATTTTCTTTCCTTTACTTATCCCAAGAGCAAAGTACTTTCAATGTAACATCATACTGATTAACAGCTGAGCTTGTAATTGTATAATTTGGTTCTTCTTGAAAATCACGATAAAGACATGTTTCAAAAAAAGACAGATAAAGACTGAAAGGAAGTAAAAACATGAAAGCAGATTGACACACCTTCAAGTCCATTACTAAGAAGCTACATGCAGCATACACTGTAAACTTTTCATATACCGTATGGAAAACCAGAATCAGCTTTCAACGACCGTTTTCCCCCAGAAGCAACACATACAACATTAAAACCCCCTCCTCCGAGAACACCCACACGCTCTCCACTCTGCCTCCAACATGTTAAATGCATGAGGCGCAACATATGGCCAACATTGAAGAATCAATATTCAAAGAAAGCTACATGCTGTAAATAGCAAATACGAGTATTTTTAGCTTTCGCTGCAAAATTCAAATGTACCATGAGGCTGTCGAGCAGTTATGTCCTTTGCAATGAACGGCTTGTTTAAGAGACTGTGTTGTTGGGTTAAAATTGAAAAGCATAGAAAATGCAGAAACCATGCTGCTGCCAATCCTGCACAGGAAGTACATCTCTATCTAAATAAGTAACACCAGGAAATTGTAGGAAACACACACATGCACGTGCACGCTAAGAGCAGAGGAAGGAAAAGAAAGGGTGTGCATGTGGGTGAGACAAAAGGAAGAAGACGTAGAAATAAATTATGCGTCTACGAGTACACATGCATATGCAGGATGTCTGTGGGGTAAGAATATAAAGCTCTAACCATGCTTGAACAGCTGTGGCTACATGCTGTGCTTTTTCACTATGAATTCTGTAATATCACCCAGAACATGACCCAGACTACAATATTTACCAGACCAGCGTGTCAGTGATGCCAGCAGAATATGCTCACATCAACACCACCACATCCACTGTGACTACTGAAAGACTATATTATGAATGAAGGTGTGGGCAGGAAGGAGAGTGACTGAGAGAAGGGAGAAACAGAAAAAGCAAAGAAATCTAAGAAGCTGAGTGAGCAAGAGAGGAGGGGGAGGCGGAGGGAGGAGGGGGGGAGTAGGGAAGGCAGTGTGTGGAAAGAGAGTGAGGCTCAGTGCTGCAGAGAATCTAACCGCTGAAAAGCAATTTGATACACTTGCCCCTTATTATCACCCTATTATCAAAATACCTCATAAAGTAAAACACTGCGACACTTCCAGCGCAGGCTATAAACATTACATAACCCCCGTTACATAACACCTATTATTCTGCTCCACCCTTTATCAGCAAGTCCCCGCCACGGCAAAGTCAGGAGCTGTCGCTGCGGCCCACGTTTGATGCTCCTCTGAGCTCTGCAGCGCTGCTTCCTTCTAAAACGTGTCATGTGAAACAGCCTTCAGAGAACATGAGCTCCAATTTGGCTCCTGACTGTCTTTACTACACACTGAGGATGAGAGATGGGAGCATTACAGCCACCTGCTGTTCAAGAGGGTTAACTGCACTAATGCAGGAAATGAAGCTGAAAGGCCTGTCCATGATGCTATGAGAGTATTTCAGTCTTGTCAGAGTTTTCACAATCCCTAGCTCATAATTTCTCACATAAAGCCTGTTTAATCCAAAGTAATGCAAAGTCAGAGGAGCAGGAAACTCCCACACTGAAAACTAATCATCACCTGCTCTCATGACAGCCTACACACCTGCAACACGCACCCAAAATAGAGCTGTGATGGAGTGTGTCCACGTGTGACACAGGACACACCAGGCTGCTGTAATCAATCACGCAGTGAAGGTGCGGTGACAGCAGGACATGAGTAATGGCTCCCACCTGAGAGGATGAAGAAGATGCCGGACACAAAGGCCAGGATGGTACGCTGAGGCCGGATGTGTCCGATGTTACTGATGACAAAGGCGGTGAAGACAAAGAGCAGCGACACCATCGGGAAGGGAGTGGCCGTCCGCACCATCTCTGTAGGGAGGAGAGGTCACAGTGTTAAACACAGCTGATGTAATGTGTCCTTACACTGCTGGGAAAGGTGAATGTTAATGTCTCTGGAGCTCTGAAAGTGTTAGTTAATATAATCTGAGGCAGTAGAGTCTGGAATATAAAGCCAATTATGTGGAGATGTCGTGACTTTCATCTTTTAAATGGTGAGATGGGAAAATTTCTTCCTTTCTTATAATGGTTTACATTTCACAGGGTATGGACATATCTCAGATTTAGTGTTTCCAGTGAAACATCTTGTTGCTTTTTAACTAAACAGAGTTAAGGTGTCAGGATGTTACAACAGAACACAGCTACATGGTTGTAAACCTGTGAGATCACAGAGAAACATCATCTTTACACTAATTGTTTAATCCAAGGCCGTAGCCATGGAGTCAGCACCGGGGGTCAGGAGTCGTGTGCTAATACTTGAGTATTACTTTTTGGAAACGTATTACTTGGACTCCAGCTTATTTGAAAGACAAATTTCGTCTTCTTGACTCCACTACATTTTTACAAAGGCTGTCCTTACACTTGCTTTGAAGTCTGCGGATGATTTTTATTATTTTTTTTAAATACAGAAGTCTATAAACTGTGTTCATGCAGTTCTGTGCTACTCAGATTGGTCAGCTCATCGGTAGAGAGAGGTAGAAAGGAGAGGTCATCAGTGATTGTATGACGTTTTTCTGTAGGCCGACATGAAAGTTAACATCGCACTGGTTCCCTTGTCAAACAGCCTATGGGATTTTTCCATTGGATTTTTGATTACTGACAAAAATAAGCTCTGTGGGAAACAAAAGTTTATGATACTTGCAATTTTTGATCAGCAAGATAATCTTCACAATTGAACATCAATTTCATGATCATTGAAGCCTACATGCAATTGCCAGAAGTAAAAAGCTAATGTTAAGCTATAAACAAACTACACTACGGTGGCAAGACCTAACGTCACCATCATAACAACACTGTGAAGCCACGTTTGGTACAGCTCGGTGTGATGACATTCTGTAGTCTCATTTATCCACTTGTAAGCAACTGCCTTTTTTAAGACACACAGAAGCTTCAAAGTTCATGAGTGGGGTATCACCAGACATATTTTATGTTGTAGAACAAAATGTGAAAGTCTCTTACGCTTGTGTGAACCACAGACCTTAATTCAGGCACCTAACCCAAAACCCATTCATAAAACAGTCGTAAAATGCCAGCTCATTTCTGGGTTATAGTCAAGGAAAATATAAAGTTACATATATATTTCATACCTCTCTAGCCTCCTGGGGCACTTGGTTTGGTTTTGCGGTATTACTATGGTTACCGCAGCAGATGTAGATAAAGATTGCCCACCAGATCACTCGTGGTCACACCTCAAGTCCATGTTGGAAGTTTCTGAGATGCTCTGTTTACCATGCACAAATGTCATCACGGCCTACAAGAATTCACCATTTACGTTTACTTCAACCAGGTATTTCTGTTAAAGCCATATTTTTGTTTATGAAGATGATCTTTTCTGAATCACGTCAGTGTAGTTCATCTGATTACTGTTAGAGAACAGAGGCTGAAACTGACTGATGACCATTTTCATCGATTAATCTGACAAATATTTTCTTGATTATTATAAAATCAGTGTCAAAATGTCCACCACAGTTCCAAGAGTCAGAGGTGACATCTTCAAAAAGCCAAAAATACAAAATGTTCAGTTTACAGTAGGGCTGCACAATATCGTGTTTTTTGTTTTTGTTTTTGTTTATTTTTTTATATTTCACTGTGATGTCAATTTCACAAAAGACTGGGAGATTGTCCTCAGGGATTTTTTCTTTTTTTAATTAGTTGAGAAAGAGTATCGGTAGAAAACTGCACTATAAAATGTAACAATGATTTTTTTTTCCTTTGGTATTTTTAGTGTTTAATTTAATGTTCTAAATAATAATATATGCAATATATAATAATATATGAATAAAAGGAAATAATTTCCTTTTATTTTTTTAATTCAAAAAAGTGATTTGTTGTATTTTAGCACTATACTGAAAGCATTAGAAAGATAGAACACTTGATTATTATTATCTATTGATCACAAATATACTATTGTTATCACGATATTCAATGTTACTTCATATCACACATTTTCCTCATAACATGCAGCCTTAGTTTACAGTGATATAAACATGAAAAAGCAACAAATTCTCACAGTCAAGAAGCTGCAACAAGAAAATTTTGTAAATTTTCCTTTAAAAAAATGACTGTATATCAGTGATTCTCAACCAGGGGTCCTTCAGGGAGTTCCAGGTGGAGCTTCCAAAAATGGGGAATAATTTATTTTTCACTATTCAATTCACTATAGAACTGAGCCCAATGTGAATAAGAGTCATAAAAGTGATCATAGATTTCACTTCCTCCACAATTAACTCCTCAACTGTGGTTGATAACTGTAGAATTCTGGTCTTAATCATATCTATCAACTCAGACCTTTTCAGATGGAGGTCCCTGAAGCAAAATCTTATCGAATGGGGGACCTTGACCTAATGTGTGGCAATTTAGGGGTCCTTGACAAGAAAAAAAGTTGGGAACCACTGCTGTAAATCAATAATCAGTTTTCTCGTTATCCAGTAATAGATGCAGCTCTAATGATCTGTTCAAACTTCAGTACCCTCGATCAATCAGCAGGGGGACTCTGCAGAGCCTCTCATACAGCAGATAACTGTGTAATGTCACCGGGCTGTTGCATGTTTTACTCACTGAGGATGTTTGCAGTGTTTTCGGTGGTGATCTCTATCTCGGGTTCAGTGAAGTACTCGGATGCAACACATCTCCCGTTTTCTGTTCCTGAGAGAAAAAGCATCAAACAAAACAAGGAACAAGTTGGGCTCTGCTTTTAGGATCAAAGTCAGTGTTGCATGAGGAAACAAAACAAATCCAAAAAAAAAGAGAAAAAAAAAAGAAAAGCATGTGGGTCTCTGCAGTGCTGCTCACAGGTAACGATCATGTTTTGTGACAGCTATGACTCTGGAGGCCAGAAGCTCTCCTCTCTCTTTTCTCTCCTCACTGCTCTCACACTCTGCTGGTTTCTGTGTGTTTGTCGCTGCTGTGATGATGTGGACATATGCACACACACACAGCAGCACTGTTTGAATGGTGTGTGCGTGTGTGTGTGTGTGTGTGTGTGTGTGTGTGTGTGTGTTTTAAAGTCAGCCTTTTAATTTCTGAATGTGAATATTCAAACATGTTTTCGTATCTGCCTACCCGCCACGAAGCAAACTCTCCACAGGCCTGAATGCAGCGCCATCTTCACCTCCATGCTCTGGTTCTGCTGCAGGATGATGCCCTCCACCATGATCAGCCAGTAGTCTGTGGACACGGCCACCCCCACCAGCAGCAGCCCGCAGGCTCCGAACACTGTGGACAGGATGGTCAACGCACGGCTGCTGCACGAACTCATCTGGAGGGCAGAACGAGGGAGGGAAGGGTGTTAGAGGAGAGGAAGAATTACATGTCAAAACTGCATAACACAAATGTAGGTAAATGTTGATGGGATCGTGGAGGGAGGTCGTTAGGAGCAGGGGGACACACCGAGACAGACGTGACGTGCACACATGCAAACAGCTACTGGCCATCTTCCTGTCTGGCCTTGTTACAGCTAAAGATGAGTTAGCGACACATCCGGTGGTGACCAATCCTGTTAAAGGTCAGCGAGGAGTCAACGCAACAGATGAAGATTTCACGGCGAAACACTGAACTTGAACTGAAACACACACACAGATCAGGACAGGGAGGAGAGGTCCTGTGTGACTCACACATGGTCTTTCTGTGACTTAGTTCTGGTTGACTGGGGAAGACTTCACTGCAAATTCTTTGAGCACACTGTCTGTATGCATTTGTGAGTTTTCATGTGTGTTATTGTTCAGCCACTAGCCTGAGCTTAATCTGGACCGCTGTTCAGTATCATCGGCTTGACAAGTCATGGAGAATGTGGAGAACACAGAGTGGGTTTGTGTTTACTATAATCACCCTCATTTTGTTGAGTTATTCAGCACATTATGCGTTACACTGGGAGGATCATTACCGTGATGCAGCTGACCTCGTATCTTCATTATTCAGACTTTGTTTTTGCATTTCTCTTTTATTCTAATTTACACTTTAGTTTAGTTAATTTATCCAGGTCTATACACCTGGTGGTCATTTATTTGGGAGTACTAACAGCACCACCTTTAATTGATAGATGTTTTTAATAGCACATAAAAAAGGAACATTAACAAACTAGGATTACCGTGATTTTATGCCTCTGTGAGCCGGTCAACTTACATTTTACAACCATGTCTGATCAGACTCATATGACAGTTAATGATGCTTCAAATGTGGATGTTGCTGCACAGAAGCTACATATTCTAAAACATGAAGGCTTCACACACATCTCAACCCAGCACAGTTTCAAGATGGACACCCAAGAACATTATGATGTCACAGTAAAGTTGACCTTGGATATTAACATGTCATCATTTCATTATTTTATCCTATTAGACATTTGTGTGAAGTTTTGTCATAATTATGTTATGGCCAAAAATTGGGTTCTGTGAGGTCACAGTGACCTTTGACCACCAAAATCTTATCAGTTAATCCTTAAGTTCAAGGGGACGTTTGTGCCAAATTTGTAGAATTCCCCTCAAGGTGTTCTTGAAATAACTCGTTTCAGAGAGACTGATAACCCTAAAACGTAATGTCTCCAGCCATGGCGTTTGCCAGTGGTGATGAATAAAAACAAGTAGCTATAAATAATAACAGAATATGCAATGGCTTAACACAGGTATCCCTTAATTTTGAGTTGAGCTGTCATGGAAAAGAAACGTAAGCTGAATATAATTTTTAATATGTTAGTAAGTCATTATTCTTACACAAAAAGTCATACTGATAAGAAAAGTAATTTGAACCTAAATAATTAGAAACAGATCAAAACAAGTGACTCACAAGAAAATTAGCAAAGACTGTACATAACCTAAACACAAGTTCTAGTATTTTCTAAGAAATTATTTTATTTATGAAATACTGACCTGGGAGCTGATATTCACTTTTCCTTATTATAGGTCCTAAATATTTTACAGAAAATTGACTTAGGTGGGTTTTAAAAAGGGGAATGTGACCGTGACATCAGTTTGATAAGAGTGAAGATCAGAGTTGAAATTGCGGTAAGCTCTCGAGTTCATGGACAGCTTTGTAAACAAATTCACAGATTTGTAATCTATGAATGCAGGGGTCGGCAACCTTGCCGATCAAGAGAGCCATCCATCCATTTTCTAACTGCTTATCCTCTTGAGGGTCGCGGGGGGGCTGGAGCCTATCCCAGCTGACACTGGGTGAGAGGCAGGGTACACCCTGGACAGGTCACCAGACTATCACAGGGCTGACACATAGAGACAGACAACCACTCACACTCACATTCACACCTACGGACAATTTAGAGTCACCAATTAACCTGCATGTCTTTGGACTGTGGGAGGAAGCCGGAGTACCCGGAGAAAACCCACGCTGACACGGGGGAGAATATGCAAACTCCACACAGAGGGCTCCCACACCTGGGATTGCACCGGGAACCCTCTTTCAAGAGAGCCATTTTTGGCCAAAAAAATCAATCATTGGAATGTTTAACTACAAGGTGACTAATCTGCAGTGGCTTGTTTATAATAATTTGGCACTTTCATTTTGCAGCATTCACAGAGTAAGCAAACAAATCTGTCCACACACACTATTAAATTCTCTATTTTCCTCCAAGACTTTTTGAATTTGGAATCCATAGCTAGTCTGGTTAGGAAAAAATTAGCAAAATATAGAATTTGAAAATTAAAATGTTAAAAAAAAAAGAGTTGTTAATTTACATATAGTTTTTTGTCAAAGCCACAGGGAGCCACTGGAGAAGGGCTAAAGAGCTGCATGTGGCTCCAGAGCCTCAGGTTGCTTATCCCTGTATTAATGTCATAAATGGATACGATTTTCAGTTCATGAAACAGTGAGACAGAAACCAAAAAACTGAAAAACTGAAAAAAGAAAACTGAAACGAGAAAATGTGGCATCTCTAATGTTTTGTTTCCGGGAAGGAAAGAGTGGCTTGATAGGAGGGGACAAATATTCTGGCCCATACAATATTACAGTAAGAAAAATATAGATATATTCTGCTACAATAAAGTGTAAGGAAACTTCAGTGGTTTATTGTAGTACCTTTTTCATAGATAATGCCAATATTTTTCGTATTTTTATTTATCTATATATGTCAATATGTTGCATCCAAATGAGCAAGAACACCATAACACCTTTCAGCAGGAGCTTGGTCTATTTTTTTGCTGGTGCATGTGTGCTGTGAGCATCACATTGACTGTGCAGGCCATTAAAGTCCACCTCAGTCACTTTAAATGAGATGTGACATTGTAATAACTATCTGGAAGAGCCCAATTATGGGCACGAAGCGATGCACCTGCTCTACAACAACGAGTAAACACACACTGACACTCAATCCTCAGTCATTCAAAACTGCAACAGCCGCCCTGATGTGCACCGAGAAAACTTATCCGACATCATTACACACATACACACACACAGTGCTGTTTGCAGCCTGAACTGTCGACCAGAGGCAGAAGGGAGCTTTTACACCAAACGTCTGACCCTTACTGTCACAAAATAATTGATATTAGCTGTAACAGGAAATATTTTTCACTCCTCTCCTGTGCGGTGTACTCGAGCTTCACACTCTCGCTCCTGCACTCAGTGACAGGAGTGAAATCAGGCATGTTCTTCTGCTGATGTAACACAGCTGCTGCTTCAAGGTTTCTGGAGATGTGTGTTTGAGGTTTTACCTTCGCACATCGCTGTCGTGCTGAGCTGTTATCTGCATACTTGTGTCCGGCCTGTTTGAGTGTTATTAATGAAATGTTCACAGTGCTGCAGCTCACCAGATGCTTTGGTGTCAGTCTCAGTCATATGGTGCACAAAAAGCCAAATTATTATATACCTAACAAACACTGAACTTCTGTGTCACTGTCTTTGGAGTGAACTATTTGCATACTAATGTACAGTAAAATACATCATGTTTAGTCTGACTAATTAATTCAACACTGACCATTTATCAGGCACTTAAGAGACGGCTTTGAGGACAGGAAATGAATGCCCAATTATTAACTTGAACATGAGAAGCACTTTATTCTTCTTCTGCTCTTTCTTTGTATGACAAACCTTTGAGTCTTTAAAGAGCAGAATTCTGACAGAGACAGTCACTCTGCTGGGGAATAAACTCTTAAAGATTAAGCCTGGCCTCATCTTATCTCGACAGCCATTGTGCGAGACGTGACCACTATAGAAGTTGCTTTAGTTTCTGTGCAGCACCGGGGATGAATAGAGCTTCTTTTGTGAGCATGGCGTGTGTGTAAGAACAGAGCTGGCTGCTGGTAAAGGGTACGCATCAGAGAAATCCTCTGAAAAATGACAAGTTAGGCCGTGTCGAGGCTGAAAGAAGCACAGAGAGAGTTACTAACAGGACAGACAGATGTGAGGGGGACAAGTATGGACTGCGAACAATCCAGTCGCACAAACACGATGGATTAAAGATGGAAAACAGGGGGAAAGGTAAAAGATTTTCAGACACAAGGGCACAACTTAAGATTTGTGGGAATTCTTAAAGAAGCAGTGTGTAAGATTTAAGGGGATTTGGTGGCATCTGGAGGTGAGGCTTGCAGATTGCAACCAGCTGAAACTTTCCCTGGTTAGGATTCCTTCAGTGTTAACTGGTCAGGAGGTTTTTACTGGGAGCCGCATTATCTGCAGAGGTTTCTTCCTCTCAAAAACAAACGGACATGGTGATTTAAAAATGGTGACATCACTGAAAAAGGCAGTTTCACATTACAAGTCGGTGTTTCTCTGATGCTGTTCAGCACGTCACATTCGGGCCACTAGCCCAGGCCTGGAGATAGCCACCCACGCTCTTATCTCCTCCCATTTGGACTACTGTAGACCTCCTAACTCTTCATTCCACACCAAGGTCCCTCAGGTCAGCTGACCCGGGGCTCCTGGGTGTTACATGCTCCAGATTCGAGCTCAAGGGTGATCATGCCTTTGCTGTGTCTGCCCCCAAAGCGTTGAACAGCATCCCCCCCTTCGAATCAGATCTGCCCCCACCATTGACTCATTTAAGTCCAGGCTCAAAACCTACTTTTACTCATTAGTGTTTGAGTCCCCCTGGTGAAGCTTTCTCTGACACGTGAATACGTGCATATTAGTGCCTGACAGTTATGTTGCCTCTCGTGTGTTCCTTTTGTACAGCACTTTGGTCAGTGTGAGTTGTTTTTAAGTATGCTTTATGAATACATTTGAGTTGAGCCCAGCACATGCTAATGTGTGCTCAAATGTTTTCTCAGATAACTTAAGATCCAGACGTTCAGGAGGTTTTAACCGAGCGCTAGGTATCCTTCTGCATCTCTTGTTCACGTTCCAGGACACCTCTACCAAACTGACCAGGTGATTAAAGCCGGTGAAAATACTAATAAAGTAGTTTCACTTTACAAATCAGTGTTTCACCTTTGCTGTTGTACATGTCGCAGATGGGCAGCTAGCCCAGCACCTGTTAATGTGTGTGTGTGCGCCTATTTTCTCTTATAACCTAAGATCCAGATGTTCAGAAGGTTTTTACCGTGAGCCCAATTATTATGTAGATGTGAAACACCACTAACAAAGCATTTACATAATGTGACAACTTGGGATGAGTAATTGTTGGGAAGAAACCTCTGTGGATAATTTGGCTCCCAGCAAAAACCACCTGAACGTCTGGATCCTAAGTTATCAGGTCCTCGTCTACAGAGATTGCCATGTTTTACAGTAGTCAAGAGAGGAAAAACCAAACACTGGCTCTAGATAGCATTTTCGCACCGGCCACCATAGTTAGCAGCCTGATTTTATTCACGTGAAACTGTTTTGTTCCGTTTCTTTTTACTGGTTTAAATCTGTCAGTTTATTTTGGATAGAAAGAGACCTCTGCAGATAATTCGGCTCCCAGTAAAAACCTCCTGAACGTCTGGATCAGAAATAAGCAAGCACACATTAGCAGGTGAGCTAGTGACCCATCTCCGACATACCAAACAGCATCGGAGAAACACTGATTTGTGAAGTGAAACTGCTTCATTCAGTGTTTTAACCAGTTTAAATACCTTTCCATTTCTTCTGGAGAAGAAGACACCTCTATGGTTAAGTGCTCAGTATCCTACATCTGCTGTTGACATTCCAGGACGTCTCTACCAATGCTGGGATGTCAGAAAAACATAAAAGCACCAGGCTCCCGGGTGAAAGTCCGGGGTTTGTTGAGTCAGGTGTCTGATGGTGAAATCCCTGACAAAGCCGCAGTATTTGACGACTTCAGAATGAGAACTGGCTGAACACACAGACCAGGTTTTATGTTTAAAAAAATCTGTGTTTTTCCAACGCTCAAGTGTTGCTAACTACGGTGGCCTACGCAAAATCACAAATGGCCATATCTAGAGCCAGTGTTTGGTTTGTCCATTCTGGGTTACTGTAGAAACATGGCAGTGCAACATGGCAAACTCTGTGGATGAGACCCTGCTCTCTATGTAGATAAAAACAGCTCATACTGAGGTAACGAAAATCCAAAGATTCCTACTTTCAGGTGATTATACACTAGAAAAAACATACTTATTATATTATATTATAGTTCTGCTAATACATCCCCCTAAATCCCACACACTGGACCTTTTCACACCAAAGTTTCTTTAATTTTCATTCTTTAATCAGAGGTGGTGGATCTTACAACAGGCCCAGCAGTTGCCATCGCTGCTGTTGACACTCAGTGGACAAGAGTATGAGCCAGTGTGATATAAAGATTTCGAGGAACATCTCCACAAAAATCAAAAACAACTCACTGAAATGACAGATGAAATAACTGAAGGCAAGTTATATAGAGGAGCAGAGAGGAGCAGAGAGGAGAGGAGATGAACAGTCACACCTTCCAGCGGTTGGAGGACATGCCAGAGTGTTCAGGAATGAGTGAGAATCAATTGGAGTTGCAACCCAGCAGAAATGAGTGGATGTGCCTGAGTGGCTCTTCCAGACTCGTTCAGCACCGCGGACAGCACCCTCATCCCTCTCTCATAGACTGCATGAAATCATCCTGCTGGTTCATAATGGATTTGGACACAAAAAACGAAGGGAACAAATTCACCTCTTCACCGCCCATGTATTGAGCTCACATCATCTCCCCCCTTTTGGAGAAACAAGAACAGGCATTGTGGATTTGGGATTGAGATTGAGTGAAAAAAAAATCCCTGTTAGATTTGTGATAACAATCCCATTTTAGCGCTGTGAGACAGGCCCCTCAGCTCCATCACCCAGAAAGTAATGAGCCGCTTGAATTGGTTAGATAGGAGCCACAAGGGGGACAAAAGGTTTAATTCTCTCTAATCTGTCACAATCTGCAGACTGACATCACCTCTAAGACTCACAGGAAGGAAAGAGAAAGAGGGAGTGATGGGTAGGGAGAGGAGATGTGCTGAAGGAGAGAGGAGAGAGGAGAGGAGGGAGTGTTTGAGGCAGGAACAGCGCGGGTACATGTAGCAGATATAGGTTAACACAGGGAAAGACCTTGGCCCAAAAAATGGAAGGAGTACCCAACATGGACGCGCACCACGGGGATGCGCCTACACCTGTGTTAAACTAACCAACCTTGACTGTGCAGCGTCTCCAAAATCAGCCCGAGAGGAGGACGGAGTCACTGAGTGGAGCATAAATGACTTCATAAACGTACATATCGTGACTCAATGGGTGGGTTTGCTCATGATGTCTCAGAGCTGCGCGGCCACACTCCGCTGAAACTCGCACCATTTTCACGCAGATCATTATTCTCTGTAAACTGCACGCGTGCAAAGCGGGATGTGGATCCCGGCACAGGGCTGACTGAGGCACTGATGTGCGCATAGGATTGTTTAGAAACCCCCCTCCTCCTCATCCTCCTCCTCTTTTACTGTCACACACACTCACACGCGGAGTTTGGAGATGATAAACACAGAGCAGGGAACATGTGAGCCACTCACACACACGCACACACACATTTGGGTGAGATGAAGAGCTGCTCCAGGTACCATTAAAGAGTGATACCTCCAGTAAAAGATGAGCGGCTGTCTCCACGCTACACGTTATGAACGCTGCGCTTCTCACAGCTGTCATCACACACACACACACACACACAACACACACACACATATATTTTATAAATGTCTGACTCAGGTTTGGGAAAAGACGTCATCGTCACAACTACTCCCAAGACACACACAACTGTAGTTATTTTAATAAAGGGGATAAAATGTACTCACCCTGCCACGAGAGTCGTGCGCACACGTCAGTAGCCAAGAAACCTCACACCAGGGAGGCTTGGTGGATGTTGGTCCTCCTCTTTTTCCTCCTTCTTCTTCCCTCTCTCTCTCTCTCCGTGTTCTGTGTGTTTTCCCTTAAGCCCCCTTACCCATCCTCTAAATCCCTCACTCTCTCTTTCACTCAATCTGTCCCAGGCACTGCGGTGGATTGGTTCAGCAAGCTACTTTGGCTACAGAAGAGACATAGCGGAGCAGGAGGGAGAGGAGTGCTGGAGAGGGAGGGAGATAGTGAGTGTGAGAGAGGGGAGGAGGAAGGGAGGGAGGGAGGTCATGTTAAAATACAATTTCTCATCTTATGTGTCCTTTTTTTTAATAATGTTTCTATGTGTATGCAGTAATACAGTTGTTGCATAATGTGCAGTGCATGCTTGGTGTAAAATGTGCTGTTACACTGCAGTATAAAGTGCAAGCACATTTTTTATCATCTATTTTAATGGTTTTATTATTATATTTTTTTATAACTTTTCCCCCTCGTGTCCATTTACTCCCTGATTTAGGATCAGACATGTTGCCAAGTAGCTTTGCACTTAACAAGGAATTTGACTTGATGATGGGTTGGGGCATACCATTTAAACACAGTGCCAAAAAATAAATAAATAAAAAATAATAGAATGCTTTAAGAATTTTTTTTTTTATAAAAATATAAATATATATTTATTCATTAAAAAATATGTAAAATAATGTGTAGTTGCCCCCTTTTTTCTGCATTTTCATGGTTCACTTCTAGTATAATTTTACATACCTTTTGGCTCTTCTTTGCAGTAGTCTTACTTTGTGTTTTATATTGCTTGTTTTAGAGCTGCACATTTTCATTTTGTATTTTTGTTCTGTGTTATCTGTCTGTAACTTATGTTGCTGCCTGTCTTGGCCGGGGCACTACTGAAAAATGGTATTTAAAAAAAATATTTTTTTCTGGTTAAATAAATAAATAAAATTAATATAATCCTCCTCCTGTGATACCATTTTTTTTTTTGGGGGGGGGGGGGGGGNTTAAAGTTTTTTTGGGGGGTGGGCGGGGGGGGTTCCCTTATCCGCTGTGAGGGTCCAAAGGACAGAGGGATGTCGTATGCTGTAAAGCCCACTGAGGCAAATTGTGATTTGTGATATTGGGCTTTATAAATAAAATTGAATTGAATGTTATTAATCTAACTGTTTTACAAAAGTTGTGCAGTTATTGTCTGGGGGATGTAAAAGTTCGTAGTGTAATACAGGTACAGGAATATGTATAAGAGGGGTAACAGTGATGATGGCCAGGTGTTACACTCACATTTGTATATGTTGTCTTATTATCAGCATGTCAGTCATGTGTCAAACACAATATTGCACTAACTTGTAGGTACACCTTTTAAATTGTTTTCTAATATCATATTGCAATGCTGTACTTACTTGAGCATGCTCATAAAGCAAAATTTCACTTCAGTGAATTCACAAACATGACACAGATTTACAGAGTTAAATATCAAATAGAAAACATAGTGGTTCACCTGCCCTGTGTCGTAGCTGTATCTCATTCAAGATCTGGTCACACATTCATTTCAAACCACATCATGAGTGCAGATGAATAAGCTGCACAGCTATTGTAGTAACCTCTATCTCCCTCTCCTCCTCTTCCTCTTGCCCCCTCCTCCTTTGTCTCCCATGGTCCATGTCCCTTGGTCTATTTTTAGCTGGCTGGTGGAGGAATCCTATATTTTTAGTAACGATATCAATAGTCTACAGCACACTCTGACCTCAGGGCAGGACAGAGGAGGAGGAGGAGGAAGAGGAGGGGTGGGTAGGAATGAGAGATTAAGAGAAGATAGAAAGAGAACAGAAAGAGACAGAGAGGTAGAGACAGAGGAAGAGGAGGCAGCAGCGGTGAAGAAGAGGGATGATATCATGTCAAAGTGACAGTGAATGATGGTGTGCACACACGAGTCCGACCGGAGAGCGCAGGAGGTTCAGTTACACGAAGGCAGATACTGTCAAGGTTGGAGTAAAGGTTGTGGTGGAGGAGTTTAAAATTAGGCAGTCGACATCAGGAGCACATCAAACTGAGGAAGATTTATCTTCCCAGAAAGCTGCCAGCACACATTTTCTTTAAAATACTCAAGTGTGAAATTCCTTCACCACTATATTACAGGTCAGACACACATCACACACTATTAAAGAGCTGCGTGTGCCACTACAAAAAAGTCTACATTAATTATTTTCATCACAGGAATCAGACATAATACATATAAAAAATAAAAGCCACATTTCCTGACACGATTTGTGACATTTTTATGGGGTTATAGCCACACATCATTTCATTTTGAAAATTGGCATGCAATGTTTTGATATCTGTCAAATCAAATGTGAGGACACTTCCTTAACACCATTATTAGAGCGTAAAACAGGTCACACTGGTGATGCAGAGGCCGGGACAAGATAAGACATGATACTGGTATCAAGAGACAACATTTGGGGGGGTGTATCAAAGAGATAACAGCAACAACAGTGATTTCTGACATTATGATTTACAGAGAATGACATAAACAGTGCATCGAAGCATTTACAGTGCAGCGCTGACAGAAGAGACCAACAGAGAGGAAGAGAGATGAAGGACAGATAGAGAGGAAGAGACGGAGGCAGAGAGGGAGATGGGAAGTTGATGAGATTTTAATGTGAAGGTCAACTTGTTATAACTCAGATCTCTATGGGGATATTAGTCCCATCATGATGCTGGAGGGGCTGGAAGAGGGGGCGGGGCTGAAGGGTGGAGGAGGTGGGAGCGTGAGGCTGCTTCAGAGGAGAAAGAGGAGGAGGAGGGAGTGAAAGTGAGATGCCTGAGAGGTGGTTTTGCTGGTTCGACAACTACAGAATCAGAGTAAATAGAGGGGTCAGCATCTTCTCTGCATGTGTGAGTGCGTACGAGTGTCTGTGTGTGCGCGCACATGCTTGAGATTGCACTTTTGAGTGTGAGTATGTGTGAAAGTGAGGGAGAGGGAGTAAGCGTGACAGAGAGGCGTGAGGAGGAGACAAAGCGAGAGGCTGTGCATGTTTGTTTCTCAGCAGCTTCGCACATAAAAAAAAAATCACAGAATGAAACACTTCACTGGTTCTTGTTTCATGAGTTGTTGTTTTTTTCAGTGAGTTTATTTCGATGTTCTTTTTTTTCCAGCAGATAAAAACAGAAGTTAACTCAACTAACAGATACATCAATCCATAAATTATCTATTGTATCATTAATTACTGATTGCATTCTCTATCGTATTGAAGTATTGCTTGTGTTGGGACATTTGACCTCGAATCAAACTGAGCTGAGGCGAACGGATGAACTGCTCCGACCTTTTACTGCCGGCCACGGTGGAAGCCTGATTGTAGATTGAAGAGCTATTTTTTGGTACATGCCATTTTTGGCTGTGGTCCGTATGTACATTTCTAGTATGGATCCTATGCACTGTTTTATAAACGAGACCCCTGGTCTGTTTGTTCAGCCCGTTCTCATTTTGAAGTCATCAAACACTGTGGCTTTGTCAGTGACTTCGGTGTTTAGACAGACCGAAGTCGTTGAGTCAAGTCAGACACTTGACTCAACAAACCCCGGACTTTCACCCAGGAGCCTAGTGCTTTTCTGCTTTTCTGACATCCCGGCATTGGTTGAGGCATCCTGAAACGTCAACATCAAACGCAGAAGGATACCTAGTGCTTAATATGTAGATGTGAAAGGCCACTAACAAAGCTGCGATATGTGATGACTTGGGATGAGAAATTGTTGGGAAGAAACCTCTGCGGATAATTTGGCTCCCAGTAAAAACTGCCTGAACGTCTGGACCATAGGTTATCAGGTCCTCGTCTGCAGAGATCACCATGTTTCTATGATAGCCCAAAAAAGACAAACCAAACACTGGCTCTAGATAGGGCCACTCGCATTTTCACATCAGCCATCGTAATTATCAACCCCTTTTTTTCATCAGGACAAAATAACGCTGATTTTATTCATGTGAAACTGCTTTATTTTGCGTTTTTACTGGTTTAAATGCATCAGTTTGTTTTGTAGAGGAAGCGACCTCTGTGGATAATTCGGCTCACGCTAAAAACCTCCTGAACACCGGGATCAGAAAAAAGCAAGCACACATTAGCAAGTGAGCTAGCTACCCGTCTCCGACATGCTGAACAGCATCGGTAAAACACTGATTTATAAAGTGAAACTGCTTCATTCAGTGTATTAATGGGTTTAAATCACCTGGTCCATTTGTTTTGGATAAGAAGACACCTCTAAGGATAATTTGGCTCCCGGTCCTAAACATTTGGATCTTAGATTATAAGAGAAAGTAGGTGAGCACACAATAACAGGTGCTGGGCAAGCTGTCTGCCTGCAACGTGCCATATAGCGTAGGAAAAACACTGATTTTAAGACTGAAACTGGTTTATTCAGTGTTTGTACCAGTTTTAATGACCTGGTCCTGTTTTGGAGAGGAAGAGACCTCTGTGGATAATTCAGCTCCTGGTAAGGAATCCTAACCAGGAGATGTTTCAATCTGTAATCCTCACTGCTAGATACTACTAAATCCCCCTAAATCGTACACACTGTTCCTCTGAAGCATATCTGTAGGATTGTGCTCCTCTGGATGATGGTTATAATTATTAGTCTGCTGAAATATTATGTAGATTGAAAAAGTCATAAAGATGCATTAAAGAAAACCAGATTTCTTGGCTTGTGAGATAAGACCACTGAAATGGGATAATTAAACTGAATGTTTGCAGCCACCTGCCCCGCTCAGATAGTGTTTAATGACAGCACTGCTATTATTTTTTCCATGTATTGAACAGTCCCAGTGAGCCTCACTTTTAATTACGCCTGATCAATGCTGTGAGTACGTCATTACACAGCAAAAAGCTTTATGGTATACACCACAAAAATAATAAAGTGCTTGTATCTGCACAAGCGTCTTTATTAAGAGGCATATTTTCTGAGACTGTGAATGCATATTTCAGTGCAGTTGTCGGATGTCATTAAGGAGCAGAGATACTGTATATTGCAGTGCTGATAGGCAGCTCGCTCAGGAATAATAAGAGAAAACAATCACGTGAATGAAGAATTATGAAGCCCAAACTGTGGCAGTGACATGAGGACTTCCTCCCACTGAGTCAGGCTGAGTGGGCATGAGCTGGGGGGGTGGCACTGCACATTAACTGTCACATTGCGCCTGCTGCGTTGTTTCAGCATCTCAGTGGATCATCTGAG